CCCCCCATTTTTCTCTCCTACTTTCTCCCTCTCTGTCTCTCTCCTTCCAGCCTTGAGGCGTCCTGTTTCAGCTCCTTCGCTTTCAGTCACAATGCTGTGGAGAGGGTGAATGGGTGGGGTGGTGGTGGTGGTGGTGGGTGCATTTAAGAGAGCAGTAGGTGGGAGTGGAGTCTGACCGCAGAGGGTCTACTGTTTAAGAGAAAGGGAATTCTCTCTCTCACTCACTCTCTCACTCTCTCCCTCTCTGTCTCTCTCACCCTCTCTCTCTCTCTCTCGCGCTCTCTCTCTCTTCTCACTGGCTGCACAACATCAGCCGGCTCTCTAGGTAGACTCGAGTAAACACTCAAAGAGAACAGAGAGAAGAGGGAAGATGACAGAGCTGTCAGCACTCTGAGAGATACAGACTGGTGAGAACATTTGTCAGGGCTGGCTGATAAGTCTCTCTCAACACGGCTTCTGCTTAGATTTTCTCATCAGTGGAGCGGCTGTGAGCATTGTGTGTGAGGTAAGTCACCTCCTTTACCTGCATGGAGCCGGCGTGGTTGATTGGGAGCAGAATGAATGAGCTGATTGATTCACCTAATTAAGACAATTGAGAAAATTGAATTGCAGAGCTTGACAACTTCATAACTTCAATCAGATCCTCTCAGCTCATCTTCACTTTTATATGAGTTGATATTAAAACTTGCTGCAGGAAATATTTCCAGTTTAAGTCTTTTTTTTTTTTTTTAAATTAAATGTACTGTAGTGGTTATTTCCATTCTTTCTGTTGGTTATTAATTGTTCAGTTTTGTTTTTTTTAATGTGAAAAATCCCATAAAAGCCTGAAATCTTCTGATATGAAAAAAAAGCACGATTTCAGACTTTTGCTCGATAAATGACAAAATTGTTTAAACTGCTGTCAGTTACTTTTTGTCATGATTTTTTATAGAAAAAGCTGAACGCTATATTTTCACCTCCAGTGAAGAATGTGGGTGATGTTGGCCATAATGAGATTCATCAAAGTAGTTACTGTAATTCATCCTCATGTTTTATGAGCCCGGACATGAGAGACTGGTTTAATTTTGGTCTTTACTGCATGCACCTGGGTGCCAATTATGTTTTACAGTGAAAAGTTTTCCTCTCTTGCTGGCTATTTTCTATTTATTAGCAGAGCAGGTAAAAGGAGTGGTGTCTTCAGAGATGGAAGGCTGTGATGATCTTCTGAATTATTCTGCTTGCATTAGGGCTGATGCTGAGTTGTGGTTTGATGGCACAGCAGAGCAGAGATGGACTGTGCGTGTGCGTGTGTGCGTGTGTGTTTAAATGCGTGTGTGTACGCTGCTCGCCGGAGTAGGTCCAGCTGTACACTTTATGGTTGCCAGCAGACAGTAGGCTTGTGTAACCCAGGAGACAGACAGCTGCTCTGCATTAGATGCTGCTGGTTGGTTCCTCTCCCAGATCTCCAGCATACACACTGCCGGCTGTAAAGTGGCTGCATCACTGACACACAAACAGTCGCTTACTGTTCATCTCCATGTGCTCCACAGTCTCCTATCCCCAGGTCAGCTTCATTTGTTTGTTATTTGCATCCCATGGGAGGATTGCGGAAATTGAAACAGACAATCTGAAGGAGAGAATGTTTGATACGTTAGTAAATAAACTGGTATTCATCGGTATAGATGCTGACAGCATATATATCTGGATTGAGGGCAATTGCTTTTTGTCTGAGCTAGGTCAGTGTAACACTGGCACAAACAGAGACAATGACATTATTGAGTCATGCACAGCATCAGTGACAGACCAATATCTGTGCAACTAACAAAGGTGAGTTTTACAACTCATTATTTCCATTTTTAAAAGAATAAGTGTGCTGTTTGTATTATCAACATTGACATAGGCTATGTGTCACTTTAAAGTTTTTAGAATCCCAAACTGTTTATAGAGCACAGTGGGATTCTCCACAGAGAGCTGATGGAATTCTTTGAGCCGCTGTTGTTTAAGGCAGGCAAAAGGCAGGATTTATTGCAGGTTTCACAGATTTACACTGTATACCCCTGAAGCTGTTTGAGGGAAATTATATCCTCATGGCGGCTGATATCGGAAAGCTTATGTACATCTTAGAGTGGGGGTGAATGGGTGAGTCACAGAGGAAAGGGAGACGTGTGTGTGTGTGTGTGGAGAAGTGAGGTGGGCTGCGGTGGAGGAGACCCACAGGATACCAGGGCAGCGTCTGCTGGATGGTAATTGTGTATGATGAGGAGATACAGGCACAGTGAAGGAGCCTGGCTGGGTTTCAGTAGCTGCAACTTCAGGTTCACTGCACACTTCTAAATCCTTCTGAATTATCTTAAGGAGATGTTTGTCTAATTTTGATTTATCTCCATGAACATGTCACACATGATTTTCTGCTCACATATTGACTAACTCTAACTAACAGGCGTGCTATCTGATCGTAGGTAGCAGAGTGAGCTTGGTGCATTAATGTTTTATGTTGCTTTGGCTACACATATGAGTAGCCACTGACAGTGACACTCGGCATAACGATGAGTGGGAATCAGGCCTTTGTTTGGACAGCTGTTAGCTCCCAACGCTCCATGCCCTACAAAGCTCCATGAGAGGGTGACTGTCTTTAACCCCACTTAGCTCCTCCAGTGATGACTGAGAGCAAACAATAATCGTGGCATTCATGATGAACCACGCTGGGCAGGACTCTGGAGACATGTTTTGGTTTGACTAAATGAACATCATTTTTTATCCAGGCTGGTCCAGACTCTCTTTGCTGCCTCTCCTCCTTCTCTTTCTTTAATCTTTCTTTGACTTTGTCGCCAATTACTGGTGAAATGTCAAGCTGGTTCTCAAAACTGTGGTGTTCAGTGAAGTTTAGCCACATTTGACCTAATTTCTGGACACATCTCTAGATAATTTCCCCTGGACAGCGCAGTCCAGTGAGTATGACCACCTGTGGTCCAGATGGTTCTCCGTAAGTGATTGTAGTAAACCTGGGAAACTGGAGTACAGATATTACAACTGTGCTTTGTTATGCTGCAGAACTGAGATTCATGGTTTCCAGAGGATGACTTGGTGATCTCCAAACTTTTTGGCACCATCAGGTCAAAATTAACTTCAAATTTAATTCAAATACGATTTGTCACCCACACAAAACCATACACAGTGCAACACAACAGAGAAATGCTGCTAATGACTGTCCGTGACATAAGGTTTGACTGCAGCTGTTATACTGATGTTACCATTTAAGTCAAAGCACCACAGTGCACAAGTTCAATATTAAGAAAACTACAGACTCAATGAGCTACTAGCACGACTGTAGACTCTTCCATCTTTATGACAAAGTGTCATTCATTTTGTCAACCACTCACTTTGGGTTCTCTGCTAATTACAAAAGGGCATCAGTTACATTTTGGAATCTCACATGTTGTGTAACTAAAGATGGCACTTTTTAAAGATGGCATATACTGAGCTTCTGATTTTAGCTAATTTTGGAACAATCCAATGAACAAAGAAAATCTCAGTTCCAAGATGTTTGACTAAATGATTTAATTTTAACAGTAACATGCCTTCTTTTTTGTCCACTGATTTTGTATTCAAAAAATATTTCTATGGCTTTCAATTTACAGCACTTCTCCACAAAAGTCATTACAGTCTTTTCCTGTCTCCCACTCAAGCCCAGTCAGATTAGTCATAAACAAATGAACAAAGACCGCCAACCCCCTCAAAGAAATCCAGTGTTTTAACCATCCCAGATGGTTTTTAATGTTCCTCCAATGCTAATGGGCAATGGGAAAGGAGTGGAAGTCTTGGAGCGGTGGGATCCGGGATGCCTTTGTATTGCCTGGCCCTCCATTGGAGGCAGCCAATAGACGAACACATGTGGTAGACACTTTGCTCTGACACTTTGCCTCCACCAGTGACCTCGCACATTGGAATGCATGAGCCATAATGTTCTTGGAACAAGATGGGGGCCTTTTTGAGAGGGGCAGACAATCTAAATTGGGGAAAATGGTAAAAAACGGGGAAGCCAATGAAGAGCCGACCCCGGGGACCGAGGTCATTAGGCTCATACAAGTGTCTGAATGGAAGGCACTCCCAATTTGGACACGCAACACGCTTCAGGCTTTCATCACAGACAAGGACAAACAGATGTCCGGGTATCACAGCCAACATGCTTGCTTCCATTTCTAGTTGAGAGAAAAAAATCCTTTCCATCCTGTTTGAATGGAAGTAACCAATAAACCTCCAGTGTAAAGTGCTAAAACATGCAGAATTTGAAAGGCCGTGAAAATTCCTCCACATGTTTTCTCAGTAGTGTCCAATTTTATCCTTCTAGTCACTCTGCAATGCAAATAGCTAAGATATTTGACATAAAAAGGGACAATTTCTGTTCTAAAATAAAAATGGTCTCCTTTGGTGCATGAAAAGACTTGGGTTGCTTAGCAAGTTTTTTCAGTTATGATTTGGAGTCTGCAGGTCAGCTCATTCATTCTTGATGAATTTCTACACTCCTCTGTCACATCTACTGTTAGTGTCATTTTAAAAAATACACTGCCAGGGATAACACCACTGGTGGCTAATTAGCGGCCTGTAGACCAGATCTGGCCATCGGACAAAAATATTTATTTCCCATTAGAAGATGAAGTTTGATTAGTTACTGAAAAATGTATTCATGTTTTCTCACAAATCTACTTGAAATGTAAGAACAAGACTCATGACAATGCTATTAAACATCTTATACTGCCTACCCCTTCACCGTGTTGTGCAACACTTGCCAAAGTATTGATGACACATGTCTAACGGTGATAAAAACCCTCAGATACAATCCTAAAACAAGCAGTTCTATGAATCTCTTTTATATAGATGCATTAAATAGAAATGCAAAAATGCACTTGGCGGTGTCACTAGTATGCCAAAGAGCAACTGAAACCAACTGCTGACCCCCTGGCTATGTGTTGAAAAGCTCACAAGAAGTGACATTGATACAAATTTAGCCATCTGAAGCTCATTTGAGGTTGCAAGGAGATTGTGCTCTCACCTTTCAGCTGATTACCTGAGAAGGAAGGTGTTATTTACGTTGTAAGTTTAGACGAGTCCTAGAAGTTGACATCAATACCCCTGTGTCACATTATGACGCAGGCAGCAGCCAGGTACAAGTCCGATTTTTATAGTAATTGCAGTGCAGCATGAAAGCTGAGGAGAGGAAGTAGCTAGAACAGAGTGCTACGCAATTACAAGTGTCTGGAGAAAACAGCAGGTAGATGTGCTCTCAAGGCTACACATGAGAACGCCAAGCCTCCACACAATGCAGGGGTTAGGCTAATAAACAGTAGGTCACCAGCACCCAGCATGTTAAAAAGCTCATGAACAATGACTAACATCCCACCTCTCCATCTGGACCCGCAGCGAAAGAGTCATAAAGAATATTGATGGGCCTCACGGCAAGCCATGAGTCCTATCACGATGGAGAAAAAATTGCACTGAGATTTGACTGTCTGCTGTACAATTGACCCA